ACACACACACATACACACACACTTCCAGTCGCCTCGTGAGCGCGTGACCGAGGTTGTGGCCAACGCAAAAAAGCCCGGGCGCGTCTTCGTCAACGTACTTGACGAGCGCCCGTGGCTTCTGCCCGCAGATTGCAAAGCTGCTAGCTGCTTCGCACTACCAGTGGCTAGCCTGACGTGCACATACAACATCGGAGCCCGTTGCAGGCCGCGGCGCCGGCACCCTCTCACGCCGCCAGCAGCAGCAGCAGCCCAGCAGCAGCACAGCAGCCGCAGCAGCAGAGCAGCGCCGCGGCGCGGCGGCGCGCGGCCGCTCCCCCGCCCCCACGCCCCGGGGCGGCGTCGGGCGCCGCGGCGGCGCCCGAACTCCACCAGCTCGGAAAGCTCGCCGGCTTCCAAGCGGCGCGGGCGGGGGCGGCGGGCAGCGCATGAGCGACTCGAGGCGAGGCGCGCGCGCACCGACGGCAGCGCGGCCGCTCCCCTCGACGCAGAAGCGGCCTGCCGCCACAGCCCCGCCCCCCCGCCCACAAGACCCCGCCCCCGCCAGCGCCGCCTCCCCCACCACCGCGTCGCCCCCTTCCTCGCGCCTAAGTAAGCACAACAGGAAACCGCTGCATCTGTTTCGTTTTTTACTAAATTATTTAAATTTCGATTCTGTTTACTGTAAATAAACTAATTTCAATAAAATTACTAATTAATATTACTAATTTGCAATGGAATTAATTTTTCTATGATCCTATACGAAAATATATTTATGAATCGTTAATAAATTTTTTCTATCGTTATTCATCGCCCCAAAAATATTGTTTCGCAACCTAAATGCGAGAGATGATGGTGCTTTTATCGAACCATGAACAGCAAACATGAACAATAAAAATTATCTTGATAGGACATTTTTATATGATTCATAAGAAAAATTAGTGTAATATTTCGTTATTACATTATTCTTGTCCATCTCAATTGTATTTTGCCTCCATCTATCGGGTAACTCTCTTGATCGTCAAAAATAATTTCGCGCACGTATAAAAATATTCTTTGATTGCCCTCACCATCAGAAGCTACAATCTGTTACTGTTAATCCGTCCGTAAATTTTGATGTTCGATAGGCCAAAACACTTTTTTACCGTTCTCTAAAATGTAGAACTCTTACTGTAATAAGTGCCCGAGCCTGCTAACTCTCTCTTTGGATTATAACATTGACAACAATGTTACTGACCATCAATTATATACATTTGTATGAAAGCCCATAGTGGTGCGCCGCCAAAGAAAATTTGAACTAACGTATTACAATACAATGTTGCAACTTTCAGGAGTGTACAAAAAACAAAACGACTCGCCTCGCCCAAACATGAATTTATTGGTTTGACCATGCGCAAAACTCGCCCAAAACATATATCCACCTTTCTCCTTGACACTTTAACTATTATATTGATTTTCTGATAGAAAACCAATAGCATTTTAAAATTCTTACCACTATCGTCGCAATGTTAAAATATTTCCCTTCAGTTACAAGCTACTTCTTACTCATTTGATTCCAGAAAATGATATGTAAATAAAAACTCATAATTACTTTATATAATTCATTTAATTGCTCATTGAAAGAAAATTACAAAGTAGAGTATCTTCTTCAAAAAACTTTTGAACGACTATTACTGATTGTGTTTCATTACAACTAATTAGTGAATAAAAGTTACTTGTGGTTGAACCTTTCGTGTAAGTACTTGCTCCCTTGCCACACAGAGCGCTGACCAACGGTGTCTGGCCGAGGATTCGAACCAGTCGGGCCCGAAGCAAGACACGTGGAACTCGCACGACTCGCAGTACTACACCCATTTCGACGAAGGCCCCTCCCCGTCCGCGGCCCCGCTCCCCCGCGGCCGCCCGCCCCTCCGGCGCCGCTCGGGATCTACGAGACGCTGTAACCCCACGTGCGGCCACGCACGGCGACAGCGGCGACCTCCCCGCCCCTTGCCCCGCGCACGGGCAAATCACCGCCCCTGGAGCGCACCGCGCCTCCCCGTACTGCACAGGGCGCCTGCCCCGCGAGTCAGTCCCCTCCCTCCTGCCCAGGCTGCCGGCTTGGTCCTACGTCTGGCACGTTGTGCCCAGACTTGTCAAGTTTGTCCAGACTGTCGCACTTTTCCAACTGGTCAAGTTTGTCAACATCGAATTGTCCAGACTGGTCGACTTGCCAGACTGGTCGACTTTTCCGGACTGTTCACTTTGCCAGACTGTCACTTGTCCCAGACTGCGTCGACTTTGTCCAGACTGGTCACTTGTCCAGACTTGTCACTTTTCCAGACTGGTCGACTTTGTCCAGACTGGTCGAACTTGTCCAGACTGTCGACTTTGTCCGACTCGGTCGACTCTGTCCAGACTGGTCGATTTGTCCAGACTGGTCGACTTTCCAGACTGGTCGACTTTTCCAACTGCGGTCGACTTTGTCCAGACTTCGACTTTGTCCAGACTGGTCACGTTTGTCCAGAACTGTCGACTTTGTCCAGACTGGTCACTTTGATCCAGACTGTCAAGTTCTGTCCAGACTGGCGACTGTCCAGACTTGGTCACTCGTCCAGACTGTCGACTTCGTCCAGACTGTCGGAGTTGTCCAGATGGTCGAGTTGTCCAGACTGGTGACTTTGTCCAGACTGGTCGACTTGCCCAGACTGTCGTTTGTCCAGAACTGTACTTTGGTCCCAGACTGGTCGACTTTGTCCAGACTTGTCACGTTTGTCCAGACTGTCAAGTTTGTCCAGGATGTCGACTTTGTCCAGACTGTCCGAGTTTGTCCAGACTTGTCGAGTTGTCCAGACGGTCGATTTGTCCAGATGGTCGACTTTTGTCCGACTGGTCGAGTTTGTCCAGACTGGTCGAGTTTGTCCAACTGGGTCTGACTTTTCCAGACTGTCGACTTTGTCAGACTTGTCAGTTTGTCCAGACTGGTCGAGTTTGTCCATACTGGTCGACTTTCCAGACTGATCGACTTTGTCCAGACTGCTCGAGTTGTCCAGACTGGTCGAGTTTGTCCAGACTGGTCGATTTGTCCAGACTGGTCGTGTTTGTCCAGACTGTCGATTTGTCCAGACTGGTCGAGTTTGTCCAGACTGTCGAGTTTGTCAGACCGTCGAGGTTTGTCCTAGACTGGTCGAGTTGTCCAGATGTCGAGTTGTCCAGACTGTCGGTTTGTCCAGACTGTCCGAGTTTTCCAGACTGTCGAGTTTGTCAGGACTGAGTCCGAGTTTGTCCAGACTGTCGAGTTTGTTCAGACATTTGTCCGAGTTTGTTCAGACGAGCCAGTTTGTTCAGACGGCCAAGGTGTTCAACTGTCAGTTTGTATTTCAAAAACCTTATTGATATGTATTATTTTTATTTCTTACAAAAATTCTGGGTATTAAATATTAATATCATGTCTTAAGGAACTAGCCAAAATAGATCAGGGTCTCAACGGTCGGTGATAACCGAGGGGAGGACATTGAAATTGAAAAAATGCGACATAATGATTAGGATCCATCCTAATATGAAGCGTACCTGATCAAGATCATAAAAATACATTGCTTACAAAAAAATATAAATATTTTAATGTTACTACTTTTAGTGTAAAAAAACAAAACGTTTATAACAAAATAAATACTGGAGAAATTATAACTAATGAATTTAACAAAAATACTCCATCGCTCAAGAAACTGCTCCGCAATACGCGCTGAAGAAACTGTAAATGCCAGATCTTAAAAAAAACACTCAATTACAAATTAGAAACTCAGCAACTGAAAAGCGGACTCTTCTCAATCTTCTTTCCCTTTGAAACATTATAAGCTACCAATTCTTTGTCAATTATTACGAA